AGGTTGGCACTGGGTGATCTCTAAGGTCTTTCCCAACCCCTTAACATACATGAAACTAAGAAAATGGGAACAGAATCTGAAATCTGGGCTAGGGGGAGATGCTCTGAGATTGGTGGCAAAGAGCAGCCATGAGCAGAGAGGCACTAAACATGCCTGAGGACTCTTCTGTAGGTCTTTTTTCTCATGTTTTATACCTGACTATAGCTATGACCTCACTAATTAAATGAGTAGTCCTTTTGCTTCCTTTCAGCTGCTCAGAGAGGAGCTCAGTCAGCTCTCAATGTTGTGCACAGAGCAGTAGGGATGATCCTTTGTCCTGTTTCCCCCCGTGAGGTCAGGATATATTGTCCCACAGCCAGTGACTGTAGTTCTCAAGTCTCCCATAATGCAAACCTGATTTTTGTTCCACATCTCCAAATAGGATTTTAGTGCCTTTTTTTCCCCCATAGCTAACATTGTCCATATACTCTTCAAGTGACCAAGAAGCTAATTCAAACACCAAGTGCATCTCTTTTCATTCCAGGCCATGGTTGCAGGGATACAACAGGCTCATGCAGAACAGCTTGCAAACATGAGAATCCAAGACCTCAAAGTCAGCCTCAAACCCCTTCACTCCGTCAACAACCCGATCCTGCGCAAGCGGAAACTCCTGGGGTAACTCTCCTCTGCCAGCTCAGGGCTGAGGCAGCTGGGGTGCCTGGAAATGGCTCTAGGGGTGTCACAGGTTCAGTGCTGCTGTGGTTCACACACTCCTGGTGGTTAGTTGGAGTCAAGGCTGCTCAGGCACTGGGATATTGCCCAGGGAGATGGTGGAGTCATCACCCTAGAGAGGTGTTTAAGAGGTGTCTGGATCTGGTGATGGAGGAGATGGTTTAGGGGTTACAGTAGTGACAGGTTAAGGGTTGGACTTGATGATCTTAAAGGTCTTCTCCAACTTTGATGGTTCTAAGGAATCCTGGCAGAATGTGGTTTGTCTTCCAAGCTGTGCCAGCGAGGGCAGGAGGAGGTTGGATGGTGTTAATGTGTTACACAGGTGACAGATCTGCTATGAGAAGATCACCTTACACATGTGAATGAGGGAAGGCAAACTGGGAGAGAGAATTCCAAGATCTGTTCTTCTGATACTGACATTTATTTACTAACAAAGTCAGGAAATCTCTCTGAGTTAATCGGAAAAACAGGATCAGACATTTAGGGATTACACTTGAACTAATGTAAAGGAATATTTCTTTCCCTTCCCATTTAAAAGGGTCTCATAATGCAGGACAGCAGTTAGAATCAGTGCTCAGAATGAGATGTGTCCCAGCTCTGCAGGGAGTGGAGGAGTGAATGTGTCACTCTGGCGCAGTTATGCAACAAGCAACCAACTGGAGCTGTGTTCAGACCCTAATTGCTTCCTCCTTGTCCTTTCACAGCACCAAGCCAAAGGATGGTGTTTATATCCACGACCCTGAGAATGGAAGCAACGATTCCAACGTGGCTCTGGAGAAGCTGAGGGATGTGATTGCTCAGTGCATTCTCCCCCAGGCTGGTAAAGGTTGCCACTTTTCACAGAGTTACATTCCTAAACGTGCAAGGCACTGACCTAGCTCAGTCTGTGTCAGTGGTGAGGGAGGATAACAACATTCCCCTTGTCCTGGGCAGTCTGGGGGCTGGGATCTGGGAGCATGGATAATCCTGGTGTCAGCAGGGACATGCAGAGCTGTTAAATGAACTTTCAGATAGGAGTGTGTGATTTGAAACCCATTTCCTAGTTTGTGTGGGGGGAGGAGGAATAACTGCACATCCTCTGTGCTGAACCTCCTGTTTCTCTGTGTTCTCCTAACCAGGAGAGAATGAGGATGAGAAGCTCAACGAAGTGATGCAGGAGGCCTGGAAGTATAACAGAGAGTGTAAGTTGCTGCGAGACACTCTGCAGAGCTTCAGCTGGAACGGTGAGGAGCTCTTGTCTTCCAGGGAGGGTGGTGAAAGGGGAAGCAGAGACCTTCTGATATGGAAATAGCCCCAGTCGTACTGGATTTGTGCTGGTTAGGTTTTGACACTGTCTCAGCCCTTCTGCCAGCATGGGAAACCTAGCAAAGGAGGCTGCAGCTCGAAATGAGGTGGAAAGTTCTGTTTTAAAATTGCTGTTTGTGGTTCAGAGTTGAGTTTTCTGAGGCACCAAATCATGTGGGAATGTAACAGCACCAATGGATCATGATAGAAAAGGGGGAATGACTCTAAACTGCCAGAGGGCAGGTTAAATGGGATATTGGGAAGGAATTGTGAGGGTGCTGAGGCACTGGCACAGGTTGCCCAGAGCAGCTGTGGCTGCTCCATCCCTGGGAGTGTTCCAGGCCAGGCTGGATGGGGTTGGAGCACCCTGGGCTGGTGTGAAGTGTCCCTGCTCATGGCAGGGGGTTTGGAACAAAATGATCTTTAAGGTCCTTCCAACCCAAACCTTCTGTGATGCCTTTAGGAACCTCTTCAGCTATTTCTCACCCCTCTCTGCTGGAGGCTGCTGCCCTGTCAGCACATCTCCTCTTGGGTTGGGTAGGAAACTGAACTACACCAGGTCAGTCACAGTGAGAGTGCTTGGGTGGACAGCACAGGGTGTCAGCCCCCAGGGGCAGAGGGGACAGGGTCACCAGCCAGGTCCACAGGGACTTGCTCATGCCTTTTCCCTTGTTGTGTTGTTTGGTTGCCTTTAATTTGTGCTTCTCAGTCCATATACTCACAGAGATTTTTCCAGCAGAACTAGAGCTCATAACTCATTTTGCTTCCCTTGCAGGTGTTGCCCTAAGTTTCCATGCCCAGCACTGTTTCACTCCAGCCAGGGCTGCTTTTCCCCTGTGCCCAGTCCCAGCTAACTCCCTTTTTTTCCCTTCCAGGCAGAGGATTCACAGACAAAGTGGATAGACTAAAACTGGCTGAGATTGTCAAACAAGTGATCGAAGAGCAGACAAACTCTCACGACTCTCAATAGCTGGAGCTTCTTAATCTTATTTTTTTTACCATTTAAGATTTATTCTTTAACTGTAAAAAGTATTTTTATGTAAATTAATAATAAATCATAATTATTTCATGAGGTTTCCACAACTGCTTGAAGATGCTGTATAGTTGTAGATACAAAAACCAGATCATTGGTACTGTAATATTTTTTTAAAGCTCAGTTCCTCGAGGTATACAAACGTACTGTCCGTCACGAGTGCCCAAACGGGCTGGATTCTCTTGGGAAAGACCATTTTTTTCCTTGATAACCAGTTGCAGAAGCTCCTTCCACCTGCCACGTCTGACCACTGCAGCCACAGTGACCCAGCCAGCCACAGTTTCTGCTCAGTGAGTACTTGAAGCAAGTGCTGTCCAACACAAACTTCAGAGCTGCTCTTTGTGCCTCAGTTCTGAGTGCTGAGGGAGAGGCAACTGAATGAACCAGCCTCAGTCTGGCTCAGTGCCCCAGAGTCCCACCTGGCCTGGCCAGGGCACCAGCTCCTTGTGCTTGCTGGATTTACCAGGCCTGAGCAGGAACTTCTTTTTGTTCCATCTTCCTCACACCTTCTTTAGGGCTTGCTCCTCTCTTTTCCTCCTCTTTGTCACACCTTCTTTCAGGCTTATTCCTCTCTCTTCCTCCTCTTCCTCACACCTTCTTTAGGGCTTATTTCTCTCTTCCTTCTCTTCCTCACACCTTCTCTCAGGCTTACCCTTCTCTCTTTCTTCCTCTTCATCTTCTTCACACCTGTTTTTTTAAGGCTGATTTGTCCATTCAGCATAAAACTCTTCTTTTTCTCATGTTCTCCAACAGCAGAACAGAAGAATGTTCTTATGTACTAGTTATTTGCTTCTCCTGGTGGATCTAGAGACAAACACCAGTGTGGGGTTTGTCCCCTTCAGCCCCCCAAGTTATGTTCCACCCCTGTGCTCCCAGTTCTTTCCTTTCTGTGAGATTTAACACTTGGTTTGAGACTTGTCCTCGTTTGGATGAGATCCTCCTGGGCAGGGTCACAGTGCTGCTGTGTGACCCCCCAGGGATCTGTCTCTGTGTCCCCTCTGGAGCCCAAACTCCTCATCTCTGATGCCTTCAGGCTCCTTTTGGGGGAGCCACAGCTGCAGGGCTGCTCCTCACCACGGCCTGGCCCTGGCAGCTTCTGCCTCCAGTCTGGAACATTGGCTCCAAAAGCTGCTTTTTTGTAATCTTAACGAAGCAAACGAACGCAATCTGTACATATTTCTAGTTTTCTACCTTCTGATGCTTCTCTTTCTTTTGAGACCAGGTGAAGGCTTTTTATAGAGCTATTTTGGTACCAAACCTGTGCAGACACCGAGTGAGTTTGGTCTGCAGACTGAAGTGCCAATTCAGGGCTATTAGTAATGACTCTTGAACATTGTTGTGTTTCATAGCTCATCCATTTTGGGTTTACATGTACCAGCCTGAGCCATGAACCTCCCAAGCTGCTCTCCCTGCAGTCCAACCTTGTTCTCTTCTGTCTCTTTCTGTACCAACCCTTGCAGCCTCTGGTTGATGGCAAACCCGTGTCTGACTCTGTCACACTCTGCAAACAGTGACTTTGGTCTTCTACTTGAAGGAGATTCTTCATTTCCCCTTCTCTGTCAGCACCTTGTCAGCTTTCCTTTAGTCCTGGTGACAGTTTTCCAATGCCTGATTGATTGCAGAGGGACAACAGTCCCTAATTCCATCACTCTGATGGAAGCAGGGATGGGTGTGAGCCAGAGTTGTACCTCTGCACTACATGGACTATCTGTGCACTGACATCTCAATGAAAACTGAAGAGAATTGGCAACAAATGAGATAATTTGTCATTTCTTGGTGGTATCCACAAGTTTTCAGACTCTGTGCTGTGCATTTCTGCCCTTGCTCTGATTCCAGGTCACGGCAGCATCCACACAGTGTTGAAATGTAAGAGGTGGGTTCATTTTTAACTTGAAATCCATGTTTTTTATTTCCTGGGGAAATGAAACTTTTCAGTGTGGCCAATAGAGATGGAAAGAAGGAAATTGTCTGTGTTGGAATGGGAGTGTGAAAAATTCCCCCATGGAAGCACTTTGTGCCCCCCGAGGAGGAAAATAGACAGTTTTTGAACTTGCTGGCAGGAAAATGGATCAGATTGGAACTACTCCCATGGTCAGTCAGCAGAGCAAGTGGGATGTGACACCTCAGAGGGTTCCTGCTCTTCATCATCCCTTCCCAGACCACACAACACTGAGGCTGCTGTTGAGGTGAGGACGTTTGTCACTGACCTTGGGGTCTGCAGGAAAGTCAATTTTCCAAGGGCTTTTGTGCTAAGGAACTGCTTTTTATGGATTCACTGTAGAGTTTCCTGTCTGTGATAGATCAGGACAGTCTGATCTGAGCAGGGGGAGAAGGGACAGATCAACAGAACACAGTTTGGAGATTCAAGGTCAAATGGTTTCATTTCTGAGAAAATTGATTGGGTTTTTGCTCCTTAAGAAGTTATGGTTTACATCTCAAAGTTTAATGGATTAATTTACAGATTTCAAGTAGAGTTTGACTTTCTCCTTCCTGTGCTGTTTGTTTTTTGGTTGACAGAAGTGCAGGACACCTTGTCTCGATTCTCTGAGGTTGTGGTGGTAAATCTGATCCTTTACAGCAGACTGAATAGTGTGACTATCTGGGGCTGGGAGGGATCAAAGAGTTTCCTTTCCCAGACACCAAAGAGATGTGGGAAAGCTCTGTGGGTTGTTTTAAATAGAATTTTATTCAAGTGAAGAAAAAAATATCTGAAATCATTTGACCTTTTCAAAATTTGATGTCGATCTGACTTCTCCTGTGACTTGGTTACTTTAAGCTCTCTCTGCTAAAAGTTAGAAGAACTTGACTTGGTGAAAGAGATTTTGGTTGGCAATAGCAACGTGGCCAAGTTTTGCTGTCATTCCTTCTGGTGTTCCCTTTGGCAAGGTCTGTCCCCACATGCCACGTCTGACTCCTGTGTGTTCAGCTGTGTCCTTGCTCCCTCTCAGTGTTCCTTGTACCATGGTAGTTCCTTTTGGATCAGTATTATCTTGTAAATATTATCCATTGGTGTACATAAATGATTTTACTAAACTTAAAAGTTCCTGCCTGTTTTTGTTTGCTCCCCAAAGCCCTGGAGGGCACGAGGGAGGGAGGACAGCGCTGAGCTGGAGGGAACAGCAGCACTTTTCTCCTGCCACCCTGGCAGGAGTGCCCAGGTGTGTGGATGGGGCACCTGGGGACATGGGGGGGTGGGGGTGGTGTCAGCATTTCGTGTTGGGCTGATGGTTGGGGTCAGTGATCTCACAGTTTTTTTCCTAGCCTTAATGATTCCATCATTCCATTCGTCTCCTGCCACGATGCTTCTCTCTGGAAGTGTTCCAAGGGTGTGGAGATGCAGCACTTGAGGATGTGGGTTAGTGGTGGACCTGGAGTGCTGGGTTGATGGTTGGACTTGATGGTCTGGGAGGTCTTTCCAACCTTAATGATTCCACCCTTCTCCTGCCACCCCCAAGGCCTCTCCTGCCATGCTCAGTCCCACCTCCCTGGCCGATGGGAAGGAGCCCTTGTCCATGAGGCTTTGAGCTGAGAGGGTGACTGACAGGACAGCCTGGATAAATCCCTGGAAAAGCATGAGCTCTGCCTGGAGACATCACCCCAAATTGCCTTTTTGCAGCACAGCTTTCCATTAGGTGGCAGCAGCACGTGCCCAGTGCTCCCAGTTAACCCTGGAGGGCTGTTCTTGGAGCCTTGGCTGGGTAGGGAGGGATGAGTGGATCTGTGTTCAGTGCCATTCCCATGGCAATGTCATTTCAGTGCCATTGGAACTAGGATGCACTTCCTTTGGGATGATGCAGGGTCTGTGCTCTGCTGAAGGTGGCTCAAGGGGGAGTCTTGCCAGGACTGGGAGACACTAGTCTGTGAGCTTGGTCTGTGTCCCTGCTGGCTCTGTGCTTTTCCAGGGAGCACAGAGCACTTCTCCTGACCCTTGTGGCCACAGAGCAGTGCCTTCAGTGTGGCCCTTCCTGGCTCTGGGAATGGTTGTGTTGTCCTCACACAAGGTTTGACTTGGCAGGACCCAGAGAGACCATTGTCCCACGAGGGTTGCAGAGCAGAAGTGGCTCTGAAAAGAGCTGTGAGGCCCAGGCCACCTTCTCTGGAAGAGCCACCGTCCACCTGCTTGGTCCCTCCGAGGAGTTAAGGTGGCTTGGATGGTGAGTGACCCTCAGAGCATCCAAAGCGCTGGGAAAGGGAGGGAGAACAATTTCCTGGGAGTGCTTCAAGCAGCTGAATCAGCTGTGAGCACTCACAAGTGGCAGGAAAGGGCTCTGCCCTGCTCCTGCGAGGACAGGACGTGTGGCCCAAGGAATGTCTCTCCCTTTCCAGCAAGGAGACTCTCCTCAAACAAACAATGAGTGCTGCAGAGCTCTGCCAGGGTCTGTCAGCTCTGAGCTCTCACTGCTCCAGCAGAAGGTCCATTAGCAATCCAGACATTGTTTCCTGGGTAATCTTCCATCACTTCCCACTTAGGAAGCCTTAATCCCCTTTTAAACAAATTGCACTGGCTGCCCGGGCTGTCTAACAGGGTCAGCCCAGGAGGGTGGCCCAGGTTCCCAGGGATGAGATGGGGAGTGTTTACTGTGCTGCTTGGTCGTGCCAGGGCACAGATCCCATTCTCCCCTGGAACGTTTGCTCTGCAGCCCCAGGAGCAGCTTTTCCCAGCCCTGTGAGGAAGAGGAAGGTGTCCTGGGGGTGGGAGCTTTGCTGTTGAGCTGTAGCAGCTTTCCTGATGTCTCATCATCCCCCTTTTCCTCCCTTCCCTCCAGAGCTCCAAGCTGGACATGGCCAAGGTGTGTCCCCATGGGCAGAAGGGTTCTCCTCCTGGGACACAGAGGAGAAGGGAAATGGGGAGCAGGTCCAGGCACAGAAGTGAGAGTGGATGTTTCTGTCTCCTTTGCAACCCTTCACTCCCTGCAGATGGCTCAGTGTGCTGCATGTCCTCATAGTGAATTAAAAGCCAGAGATTGAAAAATACTCACTTTTCTTTACTGTTAGTTTGTACTGGCAAATACTCAGAGAAATAAAACACTTTGAGACGTAAAACACCTTCCGACCACCTCCAAGGAGCTGGAGCTGATACACATCATTTGCTAGGGATATTTCCAGAAGGAAAAAGTCTGGACTAAAGATTTAAAGATCCACCTTTAAAGAATCCATTGACAGTCCATACCAACCTGTGAAATAAATAACTATCTCCACTGAGTGTCTCCAAGCAGCCCCAGGTGGCTCTCCCATCCCTCCAGCCACGGCACAGTTCACAGCAGCTCCTGACTCTGGTGCTGGATGATGCTGCTCAGCACGGCGAGGCCTTGGCAGGACTCTGCCCACTCTCCTTGGGGCAGGGACTGCTCAGAGCAGGGTGGAGGTGGAGCCCTGGGCCTCGGGGGGGCTGGCAGGGAGGGTGCTGGCATAGAACCTCTTCTGGGAGCGCAGCAGAGGGGTCTGGGTGTCCACGTCGCGGCAGGCGCCACGCTTCAGCGAGAGGAACGCGTGCTGTGTCCAGCCATACACCACACAGTTCAGCAGCCCCTGGGATGCTGCTGTCAGGGCCTGGGAGAGAGCAGGGGGAGGTCAGGGGTCTGAGTGACATCAGGGATCAGAGATCTGTTCACTGGACACAACTTCTCCAAGAGGAGGTAGAGGGACAGCACTGACCTCTCAGCCATGAGCTGAGACAGGGGAGATGCAGATTCAATGTTAGAAACAATTTTTCCCCCTGTGAGGCTGTTCAGGCACTGGGATATTGCCCAGGGAGGTGGTGGAGTCACCATCCCTGGAGGGGTTTAAGAGGTGTCTGGATCTGGTGCTGGAGGAGATGGTTTAGGGGTTCCAGCAGTGACAGGTAAACGATTGGACTTGATGATCTTAAAGGTCTCTTCCTAACTTGCTGATACTATGATTCTTCTCTCTGGAACCAGTGACAGGACCTGGGGAACAGCTGGAGCTGTGCCAGGGGAGGGTTAGGTGGATATTAGCACAAGGTTCTTCCCCCAGAGGTGTTTGGGCACTGAACAGCTCCTGGGGCAGTGTCACAGCCCCAAGGTGACAGAGCTCCAGGAGTGTTTGGCCAACGCTCTCAGGCACAGGGTGGGTTGTTGGGGTGTCCTGGGCAGGAGTTGGACTGATGATCCCTGTGGGTCCCTTCCAGCTCAGCTCAGGCAGCACTCAGAGAGCTCCAGGGATCCCTGCCAGGCTGGTAACCTCCCACTCCCAGCAGATTTTATCTACCTGCAGCCCCAGGTGATAGAGGAATCTCATGGTGGTTCTAATAAATAATATCTATCAATAATTATCTACAAACCACACAAATATATTTTATATCTAAAATACATCTAATGAATATATAATCTAGTGAAATATCTAATTTCTGCCTCGGGCACAGGAAGCAGCTGGACAAGTGTTGTGGAGGAATCATATTTGGAGACTTTCATAGGGAAAAAAGCCCAAATTGATTTCTGAGGATTTTTCCTAGTCCTATTTGCTACAGTCTCCATGAGCACAGAATCTCTGAGGTTGGAAAAGACCTGTAAGATCACCAAGTCCAAACACCAATCATCACCATGTTGACCACTAAGCCATGTCCTCATGGATTTTGGCTACCAAGACCTTCTCAAGCCTGTGGAAAACATAAACCACCCAACAAAGACCTTTTCCAGCCAAAAGCACAAAGCCAACTGAGGCTGACACAGCAGTGACCCTCACCCAGCTGAGCACAGACAGGACAGAGCCAAGGGGAGTTACCTGCAGGATCAGCAGAGCCATGTAGATTTTGCTGGTGGTTGAAAGAGTCAACTTCAGCACTCCAAGGAGAACAGCTGTGGAAAGGGATGGACAAGAGGCTGTTGCTGACTCCACCTCTCTGGAGTGTCCCAGGGGAAGGCTGTGGGAGGAAGCTCTGCTAACCTGGGGCCCAGCAGCAGAAGAACACGATGGGGTAGAAAACCACTCGTTGTTCCACCATCTTAATCATGGCCCATTGCTGATCCCCCAGGAACCCTGTGGAGTTCACAAACCTCTTGTACAGCCCTCGGGCCTGGCTCAGTATAACCTGGGAGAGAACAGGCAGAGGTTACTGGTTGGGCTGTGAGCTCCTGTGTTCATCCAGGATGGATCCCACCTCAATCCATCCAACCTTTTCACACAGCAGTGGGGGAAATCCTGGGGGAGATGTTGCTTTGTGACCTTTTCTAAAATGAAGACCCTGAACTGATTTGGGCCCTGGGAATCAGTCATAAAATAATTTAGATTGGAAAAGACCTCTAAGATCATCAAGTCCAACCATTAATCACCTCTTGCTGACCCATGCAGTAGGTGATCTCTGCTGCCAAGCTCTGAGCTAAATCTTTTTGGGATGGGCTGACAACACAGGACTCCAGATGGATTTATGTGGTGGCACAGAGATATTTTCTCTACCTTACCACCCTTCCCAGAAGGGAAGCAGCACCACACAGGTAGTGACAGAACACAGGGAATGACTTCAGACTGACAGAGGACAAGGTTAGATGAGATATTGGGCAGGAATTCCTCCCTGTGAGGTGCTGAGACACTGGCACAGGTTGCTCAGAGCAGCTGTGGCTGCTCCATCCCTGGGAGTGTTCCAGGCTGGGTTGGATGGGGCTTGGAGCCACCTGGGCTGGTGGGAGGTGTCCCTGCCCATAGGATGAGATGAGCTTTGAGGTTCTTCCAACCCAACCCATTCCATGACTCCACGACTGCCTGACCTCTGGTGCCATCCAAGCAGAGATGTGAAGACACAAAAGGCTACACAAGGCCCATGTTTCTTACCAGAATGGCCAGGAAGCTGACGAGGAAGGAGATGAGGAAGATGCCGATGCCGTAGAAGTGCATGGCGCGGCACACGGAGCCGCTGAGGGTCTGCGGCTCGTTGGGGGGCACAGCCAATTCCGTGTGCATCAGCAGACAGCTGTGGGGACAAGGGAAGGGCCTGAGCTCCTGCTGGCCCAGCAGCAGGGGCTGTGTGGGGGGTGGAGCTCACCCATGCTTCTGGCTGAAGTTCTGGTAGCAGCTGCTGCTGTTGCCCAGGCAGAACACAGGCACCATGAGCAGGAAAGGGATCAGGCTGAGGAGAAAGGACAACAGCACGTCGGTGATTGCACTGCTCCATCCCAACCCTGCACTGCTTGGTTTTCCTCCTGCCACTACATGGGAATTCAAACTTGGTTTTATTGATATTGCTCTGGAAAAGTATTTTATCAGCTTAACTAACTTCTGTGCTTTCCTTCATGAGGGCTAATCATTGTAAAGGGAGCACCTTCTGGAAAACCACCCCTAGTTAATAAAGTTACGATTAACTTGAGGAGAAACCTCTTACTCTGCATTCATGAGGTCACTGTGCTGTTAATGATGAGCTTTACAGGTTTCAGGAGAACTTGCTTCCAAACAAGTTAGGAAGCAGAAAGCAGCACATTGTGGTTTACCAACTCCAACTCCACACCATCCTGCCAGGGAGAATCAAATCTGACCAACTCCACACCATCCTGCCAGGGAGAATCAAATCTTTACCAACTCCACACCATCCTGCCAGGGAGAATCAAATCTTGACCAACTCCACACCATCCTGCCAGGGAGAATCAAATCTGACCAACTCCACACCATCCTGCCAGGGAGAATCAAATCTTTACCAACTCCACACCATCCTGCCAGGGAGAATCAAATCTTGACCAACTCCACACCATCCTGCCAGGGAGAATCAAATCTGAACCAACTCCACACCATCCTGCCAGGGAGAATGAAATCTTTACCAAACCCACACCATCCTGCCAGGGAGAACCAAGTCTTACCTTGACAGGATTGTTGCTGCTCGGCCAATGCAACTTGCATAATCCACAACCTGCAAAATCCAAAGAGCTTTATTAAAGGATCATTTCCATCCAGCCCCTGGTTCACAGGAGGCAGCTCCAAGGGAGCATTCCAGAGGCTGAGGGTCCTTCAGATGCTGATTAATCCCCAGGACAAATGTTGGGTTCTACTTTGCACTGAATCAACACAGCCAAGTTCGGCCTGAGCTGGTTTGGAGCAGAAACAATCCCTGTCCACCACCCTGTTCTCCTTCAGGAGGAGGATCTGGGAAGGGAACTTAGACCTGGACAAGGGAAGAACACTTGTTGAGCTCTTTGTGAGGACTTTACTCATTCTTTGCACTGTTTATTCACTTCACCTCCTTCTGTTCCTCAGAAACTTACATTCTGGTGAAGAAATTCAGGCAATTTGGAATGTCCTGGAATCAACTCACCAGAAATGCACTTTGGCAGCACATCCACCCTACAGCACACCATGGGACATGGAACTGTGACTGCTGGTGTGAGTGGGAGCCCAACAAGAAGGAATCCAGTCCTACAAGTGGATGCAAACCCTACAGATAAAAGCCTTTCAAACATAGGGATGTGCCCAGGCTGCTGCTCCTGGCAGATGGAACACCTGTGCACAGCAAGTGTCTGGGGAAGGAAAAGGCTGTGCCTGGTGATGGGTTTGATGGGAAGAGCTGCAGAGGAATGTGCCACCTGGCAGGAACACATGGAACACAGTGTCACAGGGTGCTGGGCCCTCCCTTCAGCCAGGAGTGAGGGAAAAGGGCTGCAAGGAGAGCTCATGAGCTGTGTGAAGTGTTTGCTCAGCCTGCAACACAGGACTGTTCCTCTGAGTGCTGTGTCCTTGTTCCTCAGCTCCCAGAGATTACACTGACTCCCAAAGGGCTTTGCTAAGGGCCAGGACTGGCCACTGCCCACTGAGCCAACAGGTCCAGCTCGTTCCCTTCCGTCACACCTCCCACCTCAGGCTCTTACTGCTGCTCTTGAACGTAGTGACACACTTGGGGAGGACAGAAAGTGCTGGTTCTCAGTCCCAGGCTCTCCTGCCCCCTCTGCCCTGCCCTGGCAGAAGGCAGTGACAGCATCAAACCAGTTACAGAGTGTTCTTCCCTCTCTTTCTCCAGTCCCCAGTGCTGAGATGTGCAGCGACTCTGCTGTCCCCAGTGAGACACCAGTTCATGCTGCCATGGGGCAGAAGGACCTCAGAGTCCTTGTGGTGAGATAAACTGCCTTGTTTGCCACCCCAAACCCCAGAGTTAGCCCTGAGCACCCAACAGATGCTCCACATCAGCCCTACCCACCTGGGGAGGCATCCTGAACAGGTTCTGATTGTACTTCACCTTCAGGTCCATGTACAGGTGCCAGGTGTAGTTAACAGTGTAGAGAAAAGAGGCCACATAGAATATCTGAGAAATACAAGGAGTATTTTAGTATTTAGTATTTCAGTCCTGCTATAACTATAACTCATCACATTCAGTGCTGATGAGCCCAAAGCTCATGGCACAGAGGGTGCTGAACACTGCAGCAAGGGTCTCTGCACAACCCCTGGGCTCACATCCAGCTGGGAAGGGCCAGGTGGAGGAAAAGTTCCCACTTTAACCCACACAAAAGCAGCTTCCCTGTGGCCTCAGACAGGGAACAGGACAACTAGTGACAGCAGGACTGCTGTAAAAATACAAATCTTTGTGATTTGGAGCATTTTTTGGCCCAAATCCTGGCCAAAAAAAAAAAAAGGGTTCAAAGGCATTTGGATCCTCTCTATGCTACATCCATTAGGAAACACAACACAGATGTGGCATTTAGATTTACTTCTTGCAGAATAAGCTCAGTGCACAGAGAATTCACGGAAACAGGAGACAATAGAATATTGAGAGAGGAAAGTGAGGGCAGATATTCTCCCAGTTCACACCCCAAACCTCTTTTTGCCTCCATGGGAGAAAGGACAGAGCAGAGTGTTTCCCACTGTGAGTTTCAGCACTTGATTCCACCTTGAGATGAGACCAAATAGTTAAAATCTCCTGTAAACTCCCCAAATCTTTAGCACATTTGTTCTCTGCTTGCTCCAGGCTGCCTGAGCAGCCTGTGCTCACTACAGGAAACACTTCAGTGGCAAAGGCAAAGAGGAAGGGCAGGACAAGGGAATTTTTTTCTCTAGGGTTTTGCTCTCCTGTGCCAAAGAGACAACGAGCACAGGTTTGCCACCCTGGTACCTTCCACAGCTGGGAAAGTGGACACCAAATGAATCCCTTGCTGAGGCTGTGAATGCTCTGGGCTGGCTCAAGGGGCTGCAAAGCTGCAGCAGGAACACTGCAGTGACTTTCCAGCTCATTAAACGAGCTTTAATGAGCGTTTGTTACCCTTTTTCAATTCCTTCTAGGGAAGGTCATCAAAACAGTGCACCAAGATCGTTCTCCTGCACTTCAGGATGCCTGAGAGAGGCTCAGGAAATGTCAGCACTGCCTCCTTCTAGCTTGGGAGAGGGAAGCAAAGGCCACTTGGGCAGGTTCCAGGACAAAGTGAAGGGAATTCTGCTCCCCTGAGCCTCAGCTTTGGGCTGGGGACAGTGCTGCCATGCTGCCCCCGAGGGGATAAAGGAGAGTCCCTCATTATCCCACTTGTGTGGCTCCCATTGTGCTCCCCAGGCTGAGCACAGCCTGCCAGGACGTTACTAGGCCACTGGAACTGAACTGGAAGCAAGTGGGAGAGCTCTGCAATTATAACCACAATCTCAATTCTGGATTTGACTATTGCAACGCAGGAGGAGAGGACAAGGTCAAGGGACAGCAAAGGGATCAGCATTTACATGAACAGCAATCACAGCTGAAACAGGGAAAACCCAAGAACCAGAGCAACCTCTTCCTCGAGGACACAGTGTGGCTGTTGGGAGAGTTCCACTCACTGCAGCATCAGCCCTTGGTGCTGAAGTGGTGGCAAACAGCCTGAAAAAGGCAAAACATTGTCCTGCTCCTGGGGCAATGCCTTAGGACATCACAAGGACTCTGGCTGAGCCTCAGAGCTGCCAGCTGCAAACACCTCTGCTGAGCAGTCCCTGCCCATCCTCATCCCCAGCACCGTTCAACACCTTCTGGGCAAAGAGGCCACATGTGCTTATGAAAGAGGCAGACACACCACCCCTGGGAGACATTTACTCATTCCACCCCGTCACACATCACTTCTGCTTCTCACAAGCTGCTGGTTAAACCTGTTACTGCTCCTTCCCACGCACGAGGGTTCCCGGCAGTGCAGGTGAGGAGGAGGAGGAGGAGGAGGAGGAGGTGTCCCTGACACGTGCTCTGTGCAGACAGGTTGCTATAGCAAATGCTGTTTGATTTCTTCCAGAGCAAACAGCAGCCACAGCTCCTGCCAGGCCCAGGGCAGCTCTGCCACCTGGGCAGTCCTCGTGCCAGGCAGGCACTGCTGGTGGCACCTGGGACAGGAGCCTGAGGACACTGGCCGAGGTCAGGAACCCTACACACCCCACCACAGTACCCTGACTGCCCTCTGGCCACTGCCCCAAATCCAGCTCTGCCCACCCACATTGCCTTTCTCAGCGTGAAAACAAAGCTCCTGCCTTGTCCCCAGCCCATGCTGGTGTCCCTGAGAGGCACAGCCACAGGCTGGAAAAGTGAGTGCAAAAAAGAGCCCTCACTTTCTGCTCCAAGTAGTGGAGCAGAAAAGAGCTGAGACATTATGGCATGTTGTCTACACCCAACCCATTTCTCCTCTAGCAGTGCAACCTGCCTTCTCCAGGCCATGAAAAGATGACACCAGCATCAAGAACAGTCCCCCAGGCAAGGGAAACAGCTCAGGAACACCCTCAGTCCTTCCACCTTCCAGCTCTGACAGCCTCTCCCAAGCTCTCCTCGTTTTCCCCTGTACCATCATCTGCAAAACACCTTTGATGTTGCTCTGCATCATTCCCAAGTGGCCAAGTTCCTCCCACCCCACTGTTTGATCCCTTGGTGTGAACATATTGCAGAGCCTGCACAGAGGAGCTGCAGAGACCAGGAACAAGCCTGGAGTGGAACTGCTGCTCTCAACAGCCTCACAACACACTTACCCCACAAAAGTAGCTGCTGGAATAGCCCTGGGCTGCAGACACCCATCCCCAGGCACACAACACCAGGAGCAGTTCCATCCCACACCTGCAGCTCCTTCCCTGCTCTCCAAGGCACGTGGAGAGTCTCTCCAGCTTCGGATGCTGCTGCTCAGTGAGGATGTTCAGTTCCCCTTTGTGGCCACCACCACAGTGCCAGGAGCTGCCCCAGCCCACACCACACACATCAGGGCCCCCAAAAACCTCTTGCCACATCCTTTCAAAGGAACTAGGTCATCCCAGGGATGAACCACCACCCTGGCCCCAGCTCAGCTGGATCCTGCAGAGTGTTTTGAGAGCAGAGATTTCCAAAGCCTAAGGCTGAAATGGGAACTGGGTGAGACAAAAGCAAACTGTCAGGAAAAGGATGTTTCACCCACTCCTCTCCAAGCAGTCTCCAGCACATGGGAGCAGCTGGAAAGCAGCCTGGGGACTGGGACACAGGGCTGAGCCTGTGCTGACAGAGCAGCCTTGAGAAGAGCCAGAACAAGGTGTTTGTGTGAGTAATGCTCTAAGTCTGAGCTCAGGCGAGTCCCAGGATGTGTCTGCTCCTGCCCAGGCTGCAGGAAGCCAAAGAGGAATAGAAGATCTGCCATGTGAGAGGCACAGAGGTCACTGTGGGCACGGGGCCAGCAGGAAAGGCATCGAGCCCCATCTACTCACTTTACACAAGCAACCACAAAATCCCATGTCCTCCTTGCCTTCCTCATTGCCTCTCACTCACCAAAGGTCCCTCTACCCAAGTGTTACGACAAACAAAATAATCTCTGTAACACACAAGGCCAAGAGATCTGATAGCTCACTGGGGAGTCCCTGCCAAAGTCTGTCTAGAAACAGCCCCCACAGCCACTCTGATCACCAGAGAGGCTAATTAATTGCCACGTCAGCCAGGAGTGGTGGTGCCAAGGGTACTCACTTGTCCCGTGGCCTGCAGGTTGTAGCAGATGAGGTCCTGCTTGGAGGTGGGTGAGCTGTAGAGCAGTGCCCCTGCCAACCAGCACATGCCCAGCAATAGGTCAGAGAGGCTCAGGTAGAAAAGTGGCCTCACCTGGGGGAAGGCAAATGGGTTAGCAGGTGTGAGAGAGGTCCCAGCACAACCACAACTACCCACACCTGTGGCTCTGCCCTTTCCTCTGAACCCACTGTCATCCCTCAGCTCTTCTTGGGGGCAGCTCTTGCCTTGCAGCCAAACTCCACGTGGATTCCTGCTCCCAGCAGCTGTTCTAACACAGATCCCCTGCTCCAGCCACCCTTTGTACCCCTAGCAACACCCCAGGATGCAAGAGCAGCATCAAAACTTACAGAAAACACCTCAAATATCCATAATATCACCATTTTGTAGAACGGAACAGGTTGGAGGGGGAAGAGAAATCATGTCTTAAACCAACCCGCAGAGAAATCAAACGTTTGGAAAACAGACCTTTTAGGCCTGAAATAAGAGGAAACAAACATTTTTCTCTGTGTTTCATGTCATTTCAGCTGGTGACTGAGGCTGAGCCTGGTTCACATGGCAGATTAATCTCCACTGAGGGCCATTAGGCTCTGCTGCATCTCCCTGGAGCAGAGTCACGTCTCCTTTAACAGCCCTTTCCAGCCCATTTCCAGCCTGCACACACTGGCCAGGACTGTAAACACTGCAGGAAAACATTTGTGCAAAATCCTGGCCAACATTTCCTTGTTAGTGGGAAAGCAGAGAGTCTGGAAAAGCAGCCTAATTATCTTCAGTCTTAATTGTAGCCTTTGGTGCTTCGTTTTTTCAGCATCCTGGAGAGAAAACGATGGTGGTTTTCTTT